GCTATTACATTATAAGGCATGAGAATAAAGGATTATTTCCCCTATAAAGGAATGGATTAACCACTAGCTTTACCAAAATGACGTCACGTTTAGCCACGCCCACCGACAGGAAGTAACATGGCATGAAGTAAATAAAGGCATTTTTGAAAGCTCATATCTCAGTGAATAATTTTTTTTGAACAATAGGAGTTCTCACACTTCATTAAAAAGTTCAGGCAATCATCTTTAGCCAATAAAATAAATACCTCAAGAAACCACTGCAGTTACCCTTTAAAAATGTAACTTTGCTTCCCAAGTAATTATGTACATGCACACATAGACTGTACATGCATGTACATGTGTACATGTTTTTGTAGGACCATTTAAATGCAGTTATGGAACTGACTGAAGAAAATCAGCAATTAGTGTCCAACTATGAGAAAGAGAAGCAGTACCGGAAAGAGATTGAAGAGGTTTTTTTTAATTAAAGATATTGATGATTATGGTATAATGTACTGTATTTTAGAAAGCAATTTTGATGGAAGATGCTAATGACAACGAAATTCGAACCTTGAAAGACCAAAATGCTACATTGGTGTTAGAGAACAAGTCTCTTCACAATAAATTGAGTAGTCAAACTGAACAAAGTAAATTCATAAGGCTACTTTAGTATCTGTACTACTGTGAAATGATTTTTTAGCTGAAAAACTTGATGAACGTCATGAGCAGTTGAAATTGGAATATAAAGACCTTCATGAAAAGAATTTAGAAGTGAGTTATTCCTTGTAGTAAGTGGACAGTGCATTTCCAAATTTTAAATTTCACTGAAAATTGTTTGGCTTTCATGTACATGTATGTGTATGTGTTGCTGAAAAAAGTTATAGTAAATGGTAGCACAATACTATAATTTATGTTTTTAGAAAGCTCTTCATAGTCCAATTCATTGAAAGTGATTCCTTGCACCCAGAGCTTAGCAATCCAGCCTTAAAACTGCTAATATTTCAATGCTAACTCTTGCTAGTGTTCCCCTATCTACGTCATTGCTTGACCATGCCCACTGCTTAACAAGATGGAGGACACTGGACGGGTAGCAAATTGAAACTTTGAGTCAAGATTTAGTGTGGTAATGCTATACTATATCCCGGCCAACTGAGTTTGTTTGGAAATAGAAGGAACTTGAAAAACATCATTTTCTATGCCATTGATTTTATGAGAGAACCCGCTTGCTCAGGGTTCCCAATGGCTGAAAGACCCATGACCCAAGATCCTGTGATGTGATAGTTCTGTCCTTATCCCACATTTGTATAAAAAGTTGTTGAAGTTTTTCTTGGTTTAAGTTCAGTTGGGATGTATTATCCTTTTTGATAATTTTAGCTATTTTTCAATTATTGATTAAATTGAGCCAGCCCTTTAACATTTGTATCTTGTTTTCATTTGTTCAGCTAATGTTTTCTTGTAACTATTCTCACTCCGTCAATGCTATAATACATCAAGTTCTTGAATTGTGTTACCGTAGTTCTAATATTTTGTACCTCTTATTTCTAAAATAAATTATTTTAAGCACTTTTACTTCTAAATTAATTCTAATTATTTGTTAAATTGCAGATTGTGATAATAGTTCTCTGATTTTGCCATTTCCTTCCAATTTTGACACTTGACAGCATTATACATGTACATGTATGTACATGTAACACATGGACCTGTGCTGTAAGAGGCCAAAGAGCATGTGTAACTCCAGTCATGACTTGAGCAGCACTCTGCCTGACAGATATTGCCATTAGTAGGCCTAAGTTCTTTCTAGTTTATAGCGAACAAGATTCAGATTGTGAAGATTTTTAGTCAAGCAACAAAGAAGCATCGACAGACCTACAATATCTTGTCACACTTTCTTCATAAAGTTTGCCAAAAAGGCTTAGTTTATTCTAATTATTCGTTTTCAAAATTTATTTATTTTAAAAGTGACTGTGGCAAATTTTCAGAACAATTATGGTACTCTGGTACTGAAAACCATTCTGCATTGAAGCAAATGAGTATACTACTGTTATTATTGCCTCTGGTTGCCCTGATCAGCAGTGTTCACCACCATTTTGGGTGATTTACTCGTCTAATTTCAAGCCAATGTAGCTGTTATAAGATGTTTATTGCCGTACAAGTGTGTATAATTACAGTTTTTACCTGAAAAGTTACATGTAAGTAATAATCAAGTGGGAATTTCCTCACTAATGTTAATGTAAATTCAGTAATGATGAACACCTTTGCTCACTGCAAAATCCTTATTTGATACTGTGGTGACTAGTTAGTTAGGCGGGCCTGACCCTCGCAAAGGAGGAGGGTCAGGACCAATCCAACACTCTTTTTGGTGTACACTTTTATGGCTTGGGTGGGGCTAGTCAGGTGGGCCGGCCTGACCCGCCTGACTAGTGTGGGGCTGGGTGGGGCTCAAAGCTTGCATTTGGCTATTTTAAAATGTGCTGTATGGTGCTCAGTTCTCGGGCTGAAGATGATACAAATCAGTTTCCTTCAGGCTCATTCTCTAGACTCAGTCATAGATAACCCATATGAAAGATCCTATTTTAGCAGTTCGATAGAACTAGGTCTAAATTGGCATAGATATAATTGCACATGTAAAAGATGATGAAAGGGCTTGCTTTAAATGTTTACATGAGTTAGAGAAGCTGGAAAAAATAAAAACCTCTTTAACAATTGTTAAGAAGTGCCACGGTAAAATGTTCCTAACAGCCGGATCGTTTTCGTCACCATAAACACATAACGGGCTTCTATTTCTTCTTAAAAAGACATGATAAGGTCTTATGTATTTTCCAGTGTCTCTAGAAAAGTTCTTAGACATTATCTTTGCCTTGTTTTGCTGATAGAATGTCCCATTCAAATCCACCATTTTCATTTTGACTTACATGTATGATGACTCATGATACGTCACTGCACAAATCTGTGCAGTGCTACGAAAAAGAGTGTTGGATTGGTCCTGACCCTCCTCCTTTGCGAGGGTCAGGCCCGCCTGACTAGTGACTAGTGTGCTCCATTATTAGTTGTCTTTAGGACCTTTTTGTATAAATGGATTTGCTGCAGTTGCTCTGAAAGAACGATTGGTTTTGACTCCTTTAATTTGTTTCATTTATTTGTTGCAAAGTTTTGTGACCAACAGCAAACCAACATTCATCTCTTGGCTTTGAATGAAGTGCACCTGATGGATGGTTTTCTAGATGCTTTTTAAAGTAAAGATTCTCACGACAAAATGTTGTTTACTGCCTTGCAAAATGCTCCACAGCTTTTGTAGTTATTTTTATTCCCTTTAAACCGCCAGGATTCTTTTCTTGTTCTCTGAGTTAGAGTGTACTGATTTCAGTGATTTGTCCTTCTTTCTCAATAACTTTAATCTGGCACATGCAGTGAGTGTCTTAAAATTGCTTATTGCAACTGGAGCATGTAATCAATTTCAATCATTTAGTGCATTGTCAGGCATATTTTGAAGCTTTAAGTCAGTCATACATTGTACCAAGAGTAGATAATAATTAGAGGAGAGTGTCCTACTGTGCATATACCCCTGCTTCATCACGGCGTAGAATTGAAGAGTCACATTCAGGATATTTTCAGTATTTTTGAGTAGTTATTTGAAAATAACTAGCAATAACTACTCAAACTCATTAAAAATACGGAAATATCCTGAATGTGACTCTTCAATTCTATGCTGTCATGAAGCAGACCTTATAGCCAGTAGGACACTCTCCTCTAATTATTATCTACTCTTGATTGTACACATCAATTTACATGTGTATGTACATGTAGTGAACAGTTAGTACCAAATCTGAAATCTTATGAAACATTTTCAACGTTAGTTACCATAGAACCTATACATACATGTATACACATGTACTGTTTTTTTTAATTGACAGATGCAAATGTTACACTTATGCAATATGCATGTACATGTACATATAAAATATTTATTTGGTTTTGTTTTGATTTTAAATACTAATTTCTAGTTAATAAGAAACCTTCATGGTAGAAAGGACTTCAATAAAGATGGTGGTCTATCAACTGCTGTTAGGTACTTTTACTGTGTAACTGTATATAACACATTCATGCCTTTTGTAAAGGACATACATGTATGTGCATGATGTACATGTATGCTGTTATAAACATGTATGTGCAATGATTATTCATACTGTGACATTTTCATGATGCATATGGTTTAATTGTCTTATTTTAAAATAGGAATCGGGAAGAATCTATTACATCTTATGACACTCCTGTTGTTCCTGGTTTTCAAGATTTTACTGTGTCCAAGCAGAAAAAGAAAAGACAGCAACCTAGTATTCCTGTGAAGGTAGAAGGACTTCTCTCTCCTACAGATGGTTAGATAGAGAATAAGATGGTTTGCATGATGTGTTTTTATTTTATTGCAGAAAACTTCATTGGAAATACTCCAGCTGTGCACCGTATTGATTCACCTGAGTTGGAACAAGGAAGTGAACCATTACCTTCTACTATTACTGATTTAGAACAGGAAATCAAAGAAAAGGTGCATTGTACTTGTATTTCTTTCATTTTATATCATACACAAAGCAATGTACATGCAGTACATGTACTGTACATGCACACGATGTACATGTACATGTGAATTTACTTTATGAATGTATTGTACTTACATTGTATTGTGCATGCAGTGCTGAGTATACAACTTTTAGTACTATAGTATGTGAGTCCACCACCACGAATGTATTTCATTAACTTTCTGTTTCTGTACTCATTATAATTATTATTAGTTACATACCGTAAATCCTTAAATAGAAGCCGCATTTGAATAAACGCCGGGGTAGCAATACAATTTAACTATAAATACGCAACACAGGCCTAGGAGTGACTCAGTAGTCTAGTGGATGCTGCCTGAAGTTCCAGAAGTCAAAAGCATGAGGTCACGGGTTCGAACCCTGCTCTGGGCCTAATTTTTTTAAATTTTTTATATATTTTTTCGAGATCCAAATACCATTTTAGGAAATAGACGCCCGGGCTTTTATTTAAGGAAATACGGTATACATGTACATGTACATGTGCAATGTGTACTACATATGTATACAAGCATGGACATGTTGCTTAATTTTTAAAATTATTGTGAGAGTTTATACTGTTACCTTCTTTACTTTTTACTGTTGTTGTTATCAATTTATGGTTCACTAAAACACTCAGTTCCATGCAGTATGTGTTTTTATTGATGTATTATAGTTTATTGTGTGATCTTGACATTGATAATAAAGTCAAGAATTGTTGTGCATCAGATAAGTACATGTAGTTTGCATTTGAATTTTGTACTGTACATTAATTAGTACGTCCATGTACATATACATGTACATGTATTACATTTTAGGAAGAAGATGAAACTGAGGATATCATGGACCAGCAAGGGTATGAAAAATAATATTTTTGCTTTTTTACATTTTTTTAGCTTTCTTGTAAATCCTGATGATGATGTTCCTGTTAATGAACAATCATTATTTGCTGAAATGGGAGACTCAAATGCTTTTGAATTTTCAGGCTAGTTACATGAACACTGGAACATGTACATGCATGTACAGTACATTACATGTAGTTTTTTGTGTGTCTTAGTTACATGCATGTACATGTAAATGTCATTGACAGCATTCAATTATCTCTTTATTCTCTTGCCACATTTTGCTTTCCTCTTTCACATCTATTTCTTGCCATTGTTTCTTACCATTACTTCTTTTTAATTAATTTTTATTGCAGTATAACTGCATGATCATTAGGTCGTGGATAAAAGGGACTGCATGGAAATACTTGTAAATGTTATTTGCCACATTCTTTTTAAGTATGAGGCTGCCTTGAGAGTTGAGATTTATTGTATTGTACATGTACATTAGTATGTGTACACGTCAACAGTATATGCAGCTTGCTATACAGTGTACCCTGTACAACAAAATTGCATGCTTACTCCATATGTATGTACATGTGTAAATTTCTCCTCATTGGATATTTGTATTATTTAGAAGCTTTAAAAAACATTAATTTTATCTAAATGAAATTCCTCATGCTAGGCTTTGTAATTATTTTATTGAGCTTGGCTATATCCACTCACTCATTTCCATTATCTTTTTATTTGCATGTATATTCTGTGTTACTACCGTATAGCTTGAAATTTTTGTGGGTCGATATTTTCATTGGTCGATATTTTCGTGGTTTGCTCCTAGTGGTAATTCATAGTTTAATTTTTGTGGTTGACAGTTTACATAGCCTGTAAGGGGATGGCACTTCAATGATTTCCTGGGTTTAAATTTTGTGGGAAGCCCCTTAACCATGAAAACCACGAAATTTACATTCCATGAAAATTTCAAGCTATATCATATTATAAATCTATGCACAGTAATAATGTACAACTATACTGTAACTTTTGTGGCCTCATTTCTCATTTTATTTGCTAGTCAACATGAAGGAATTTTTACATAGCAAGCTGTGTAATTAAAGGAGAATATATTTGCCTATATACCCATGCAAGTAGACCGTACACAATATTTTGACTTTATTTTCATTAATTAACATATCAATAATTACAAAATAGAGGGCTTTGAGTTTTGAAGATGGCCTTGGTCTGAATGACTATTTTCTAAATTAATTCTGTCTAACTTCACTTTATTTTAATCTGTTTTCACAACTTAAGATTTTTCTGCTCTTATTATTATTATTTCAGTTCTCTGTGTGTTTAATAACTGTTGCTTACATAAAATTTATTATTAAATTATAATTTTCTCTATTATTATTATTATTATTATTATTATTATTATTATTATTATTATTATTATTATTATTATTATTATTATTATTATTATTGCTATTATTATTATTATTATTCTACCATGCCTAGTTGCAATTGATGAATCAGATTGCAGAATACCAGATTTCTAAATTTATTAGATACCTCCCAGGAACACTTAGAAACCTCCCGTGAACACTTAGAAACATGGCGCTTTATGCTTATGCTCTTATTAGTCCATTTGTCAAGCTTTGTTGATTCTATGTATGTCAACTGTGGTCTTATTATCAGCATCTGGTAGTTGTTTTCAAATCTCATGATAGAAGTTGGTTATACACCTCGGTATTGGTTTCTATGGTATTTATTAACCTCCCTACTGCATCACTAGGTTAACAAATACCAAGAAACCTCTACCTCGGTGTGTAACCTGTACTTAAACTCCCTTATTTTAATTTTTTATTGTCAAAAATTTATGTACATATACACATGTTATGGTCAAGGAAAGTTAACATTTAAAACAATTTTGGATACTGTGTACATGTACTTCAACTTCTAGGTATTTGAAATTATGCTTTAAAAGTTTACTTACTAAATTATTTTGCTTCTTTTACTGTTTTAGGCCTTGATGACATATTGTTGGAGAACAAACAACTTCATAATGAAAAGTATGTTTCATGATTCATGTACATGTACATGTACACTACTTTTATTTCATGACCATGTACATGTACATGTACATGTATGATTGTTATGCATGTATGTACATGTATTCAGGGAAGACTTGTCAAAGCAGCTGGAAGCCCTGAATAAGAAAGTCATTGACTTGGAAATGTGAGTATTATTGTTGTGTTTTGATGTTAAGAATGCATTGTACATGTGTTGTTGACTTACATCTAGGAATAAAAATGAACTGATTATTGCAAAAGAGGATTTTTCTGAGAGATTAGCCTTAGCTAATGATGAAGTTAAGAAACTAAAGAAGGAAATTCATGATAATAAAGAAGAGCTTAGACAAATGAGTGATGTAAGTGCCCTTTTTTGATACAGTGGTAGCGTAATATATGGTAGTTAACCTTGCTATGCATAGGCATACATGTAAATGAGCTATGGTATGAGTAAGTATAATGTATGTGACTAATATGCAGGCATACAGTATATATGTATTTTCCAGTGTAATGGATTTTAAGGAGCAGTATGCTATGCTAGAATAAATGGTATAATCAGTAATATCCTTATTAGTGAAACAGTTAAATTATCGAAAGAAATAGTGATAAACTAAAATTTAATAGGTTAGCTCCTCTATCAACAGAAAGTAGCTGCCAATTCTTAAAGAAATAACTAAATCTCTATTTGAGTGATGTAACATGAGCATAATGAAGAACAGGCCTAGCTGCATTGGCAATGACTGAAGGCATAATGGAATATGAGTAATTTTTGGGCATAATAGCATTTATATATAACTCATCCTGAATCAAACTGAATCAAACTGCTCATCATCTCAAAACTTCTTTTCCTACTTTTATGGGACTAATTTTTGCTTGTGAGAGCTTTAATCTTTGTAAGGTGGAGAAAGCTTGCAAACTTGAAGCAAGGAGTTAACTTTTTGTTTTAGGAGCTGCAGAATTTGTTGTTGCATCATAAAAAATTAACAAAATTTAACTTCAAAATTTATGTGTGGATTGTCTTTTACTATTCTTTTTTTTTGCTATGAGATACACATGTAAACTGTCCTTGGTCAAATACAGCCTATTGAATCTCAGTAGTGAAGGCAGCCAGTATTTTATAACTGGCAAGACATCTGCATGCAACTAGTATTGCCTACATGTACTTAATGCGTCAAAAGAGTTTTTAAAACTTTGAAAAAGTAGTAAAATCTCAAGCTTTTGAGTTCCTAACTGTGCATGTTTAGCCATGTTTCTATTTGAATCCACATCTTCAATTAGTACTACTAGTGATATATTTCAACATTATAGCAAATAAATGAAATATTTTTTGTACTGAGAGTATGAAATGCAATAAGTGCCCTTAACTGAAATTTTTGATTTTAATAACTTTATGAGCATGTACATGTACATTGTAAATGTAATTGTGTTGTTCTTGCCTTTTTTTTTGTATGCATTAATGTAATATACATGTACATGTACTTACAAGTGTTTGTGTTTCTTTGCTATAGAATATTAAGGTGGGCCAGCCTACTGGCTCTGAAGGCCTTCGCATTAGCAGATTAGAGATTGCTAAAGTTTTACGAGAGAGAAATGAATGGAAGGAAAAATACTTCTCCTTGTTGGAGCAAGTTAGGTATGCTTTAGTTTCACGCTGTGGTTTTTGCATGCTTTAATGTCTATTTTATTTGATCTAATAGAATGAATGATGAACTTTATTTGTTTAAACGGAAGGACAAGAAGTCTCGATGGGTTGACTAGTGGGTTTAGTTTAATTATTTGATTTTTTTAAATTAATTTTTTAGCTTTACAGCACTTTTTAGTTCAACAAGGAGGAGACAGCTTGAACAGTCGTTAATAGAAAGCTCCCCTCATAGGCCTATTCTTGCAGCAGGCACTGTATCTACTAATGAGGGTGGTGATATTCTCACTCAGGAAGACTTGTGAGTACCTGTACAAATACATAAACTTTGATCTGCTGCATACATGTACATGTATACATCTTCTTTGTACATATACATGTATTAGTTGTGACACAGTAAAGAGTGATAATGAGTTATGGTTTATTTTGAGTTGCAAAAACTGTCTGAATAGATGTACATGTATGTACATGTATATTCTGAATCACGTTACCAGCCATTTGTCTATATCTTTGTGAGCAGTACTGGTACTATTCAGATACAGTAAAGTGTACAGTTGTGGGAATTTAACTTTGGCTAATGTTTAATGTTATGCTTGCCGTTGATTTACGTGTACATTTACATTTAACTCAATAAATTTAATGTTTTATAACTTTTATTAGACCTGTATATGATGGTGCTGGTTATGCTAAAACTAAAGTTATTCCTACGTTAAAGAGAGTTGGAAAGAAGGAAGGTACTTGTAAGAATAGTACTTTATTGTAAGGAAACAATTTTTATCTTATACACGCAGATGAGGTTTATTTGACTTCAGTTAGTTGGGTTATTCCAAATATGCCTGACATGTCTCCTTCTGGTTCACCAGTTCCTCCTCTAATACATGCATCTCCTAATATTAATACGTGTAGACCCATGAGCTTTCAAGATGAAGGAGCAAAAGTAGAGTCTATCATTTACATAATACATTACTGTACAACTATAGATACTATGTGCAACAGCTGTCAATAATGCTTCATTCTTGAAAGATTGTTCTAATGCTCTCTCTGTTCCTAAAAACACTGAGTTTTCCACTTCAGAAGATAGCAGTATGAGCCTTGTTTGGATTTGCACTGGGACTAGTGACCTCACAAAGGTCAGTGTTACTTTCACAGTGTTTTTTATGTACGTGTAGATGCACATGTACTGTATGTACATGTAGCCAGAGCTGAGGTGAAGTCCTTTTGTTAAGAAATTTGACTTTGTGTCAATTGGGCTCAATAGAATTTTTATGTTAAAGTGACTTTATCTCAGTAATTGTGTAGTTGTACATGTATACATGTACATGTATGTACATGTTCATGTACGGAAGATTTCAGGGCAAAGTTCATATGTACATTGTACATGTGCCTACAGTATTGAAACACTTATATAAGTGCAGTTGCAAGTATTGCTTGCAGTTTATATTGGTGCGTATACATGTACATGTGTACATGTATGTTATTCATGTGTATGTACATGTACTTGCCTAAAGGTACTCTATAGTCTGTCTTTGCTATTGTTGTTCTGGGCCCATGCTACAAGTAGTAATTGTATGAATTTCTATGTTCGTAGTGATACAGGATAGGGATATCCTTTCTTTAATACTACCCATTCTATTGAGGAGAGGTGTACAATGAGACGCATTGGACATGTACTGTACATGTACATGTACCTGGCTCTTTCTTAGGAGTTACTTCTAAGGGGGAGCATTGAATTCCCTCCTGGGTACAGGCCATCCCGCAGTTACTTCTTTCTTGAAGCACCACGTGGTCTCTTCCGGATGTTTGGTGACAGATTCCTGATTATAGAGAGACAATTACTGCCCTCAGTACCCTGTGCCATTACATGTATCTTGGAAACTGATTTAAAAGCCATGGGTTGTATCATTGATAATGTACTGCTCTGTCTCTCACGTCTTTACTTTGGCATGAGTGGAACCAGTCCTCGATGTAGAGATAGGATACAAGGCTTGAGTGTCCTCGAAAAATTTGTTTTGGTTAGCCCAATTAATGATGGACCCCGTCCGATTACCTCTTGGTGACCTAGATCTGCTTCTTTTGTTAGATTTAGATCCTCTACATCTTTTTGAAGATTGTGGAATCTGTCATTGAGTTTGTCCAATTTTTAGCAACTGCTCTAGAGACTTTTTTTCAGTATGTGCTTGCTGAGACTATCGTCACACGTGGTGAGCTAAGAAAAAAGCCAAGGAAGATGGCAATGATGCAGGCATGGCATGTGGCGAATTGGCGGTCAAAGAGTTATTAAACTTAGTCATTTAACTACAAACTAGCTGTGAGTTTAGAAAACTGGCCAAGCACAGTTAATGTGTGAAGCTGAGCTTTCTGTTATTTAATCTCTATGTAACTTTTTGACCACATTAACAAGGAACAACTACAAATAATGAAGCTTCTAATGCTTGTTTCCCCCTTTGGATAGCAGCGCTTTGAATGAACTTTAAACCTGTCTAGCCCAAATAAGAACTTACCCTCACAGGAATAAGCAGTGTTCACCACTTTTGAAAGGATAAGCTGCCACAAATTGTACCATCTCCTTTACCACTACTTCTGGCAGCTGGTTGCTGGCTTTGTTTTTCTCTTGCACCCCTCATCATTGTTCATGATGCTGTTTAGTCTTGAACACCTCAAAAATCTCCACTGTAGAGATGAAAGAGAACAATGAGAAGTTAGGAGAGAACTAAGTTTTTGATCTCAGAGATCAAATTGGGAAATAGAACTTGGGACTAGAAGTTGTTCAACGTGGCTATAGTCTTGTGACCACCTGAGCTTCACTTAATCTTACCAATCTTTTTTAACTATATGCTTAAACTCCAATGTTGATTTCACCAAATATCCTGTTTCATATCTCTAGAAAGACTAATCGAGTGAAGCCCTTACTTATGAGAATTCCAGTATGTATACATACATATACGTTTGTGGGCAAGACTGGAGGTGTGGCTGGAGAGCAGAACCCCTCAATGTTTTACATTCATTCTAGTGTTGACTGTTTCAAACTTTTTGTACACCATACTTGTAGACTCTAAGATCATGCTTTAGGTATGGTTACTATAATTGCATGATTGGTCTATGTCATGAACTCGTTCAATTTTTGAAGTGGTTGTCCTGAGCACCTCTGAACGCTATAGGCAAAACTACAGTATGCGTACCCATGGGTCTTTGTGTAGTCAATTTCAGTTGATTTGGCACAGGCATGACCCTTATAACTTTTTATTATTCATGCTAGCTACCTGAAACTTAGTGTAGCTGCAAAACCAGTTGTTTTGAAAATGTGTACTATTTTTTGGATCTCTAGGTACTCTGGAAGGTTCTGAATGGGTTCCTCTACTCTAATTTGAAGAGAGCCGCCATGATAAATCAATACGTGCATGCTACATCATACTCGTGAATTCATTAGCATTTCATTATTATTAATGTTTTTGTATGAAATAAAAGGAAACAGATGAGTTCCTCTAGAAAAGGTAGTATTCAACTAGCAGACTTACATGTACGTGTATATTGCTTGAAAGAATTTGCTATATCCTGTTAATTCTTCATTAGCGTCAACTGTGGTTGCTCTCTTTTGTATCTGAGGTCTTTATTAGCTTTATAACAGAAAAGGTCCAGTCATTGTTCATTAAATGTCCAAGGCGAGGATAAATCAAGCACAAAAACATATCAGAAGTAAAGAAAGCCTCCATTAAAGAGCTTGCTTGAACTCTGCTACCATTTAGGTGTGGCTAAGAGTGATGTTTTATTGGTGTAAAACTTGATTTTATATAAAATTGACTTTACTATTTATGATGGGCACTGATGCTAACTTACTATGTAACTGTTCTTATGGTCAAATGTTTGATTTATAAGTACTGTGAAGACAAAGTGCTGAAGCACAAGCAGAAATTTGTGTAGACTAAGTGTGTGAAACCAATGAAGCTCTTCCAGAAATTGATTACGTTTTCCTGCTTTATAGGGTTTCTAGCCTTATAAATGCATTTAAAGTATCTGCAGCTGTTATGATGTTGTATTGCCATTAGTAATGTTTTGACTTTCTTCTCTTCCAGTCTTAGCTTGAGTACCTTTCTAAGACAAATCAAACTACTTGTACATGTAAAAGCTATGCAATTATAACTGAGAAAGCATTCATTATCACTTAGGTTGACACCAGATATAAATTATTGTTTACTTTAGGTAAGTGTCCTAGACACTGCTGCTGTTGGAGAAGTTTTGGAAACTTTTGCTGTGTGCAGTACACCTATTGTTTGCATGTCAGCTATCCCTTCGTTTGATGATAAAGATCCTGATGTTCTTTCTAGTAAGTTTGTTTTTGTTGAATCACTGTATTTGCCTGTTTATTTAACTCTTTATGCAACTACTTGTAAATTGCTTTTTGAATACATGTATTTGTTTTATTGGTAGAGCAAGTGGTTGAATTTAAAAATATTATGATAATTGTTTTCACAACCTTTCATGCATAGCTATTTTTTTCATCAAGACTTACAGTGAAGATCAGGGCCATGTTAACTTTGATACTCAACTACATGTACATACTACAACATACGCTTTGCATTAAGTATGTGCCTAACAATTACATTAGTGTTTAACTTATAGGTAACGCTTGGTTTATACCATTATAATGTCATGTTACATATACATGTATATGTAGATTGCATGTGGGTGAGAACATTTATAGAAACAACCGGGAGCTTGTCCCCCATGTCATAAGAACAAGGCGTTTGCTTCCCAGTGAGTGAAAGTGCATGATATAGTGTGAAAAAGTCTAAGATTAGAGACTGTCAACTGGCCATTATGAATGTAGTACATGTAGTTTTGATGAGTAAGTACATGTATCTTTTGATTGCTTTACGAATGAAGTATTAATTTGCATGCTGTTGCAGTTGCTTTTATTGTTTCGACTTGCCAATTAATTACTGTAGTACATGTAGTTTTAAAAAATACTGTATAGTGAGAAAGTTTCATGGCCCAAAATTTTTACATTTTCATCCAAAAATCTATTTCAGGGTTTTAATTTTCACAGTTGTCTGCCTTTTGGCCATGTTGAACAGTATAAATCGATTTTTCAGATTTTATTTACATAAATTTTGAATAATTTGTAAAATTTACAAATATTTTGGGCCATGAAAAACTCTAGCTATATGGTAAATACATGTATGTCTTGACTGCTTACTGTACAAGATACTAATTTGCATGCTGTTGCATATGCTCTTGTTACTTATGCACCACATACTTGCCAATTAAAAGTGTTATGCGACCACTTCATTGATAATGCTTTGTATTATTTTGCTGATTGTGCCTTTTTGACATGTATTTGTAACATGTAGGTTTGTCCACGAAAGTAAAAAAATCAACAGGACAAACTGGCTCTAAGGAAAGACCTTCTTCTCAGTATGCTACTATTTGGATGGGATCAGAATCTGGAGTGTATGTTGTTAACATTGCTAAATAAGAATTTCGTGGTAAATACTTGTAGTTTATATGTACATTCTGCTTTGTCACAATGGAAGAAATGTTTGCATGCTGATAGGCTTCCTGCTGGTATTCAGGGCATTGTGTAAGTTGCATATAAATCATAAAATAAATTGATAATTTGCAGGCATTCTAAAGGAAAGGTGTTTCTTTTGCTTCAAAATGCCACTTTAGCTGTTTTTATGAGATATTCAGGTACATTCATGCATGCATCTGATATTGAAAAATGCATGCAACATTTGTGCATGTACATGTACATGTACATAAGTCTACATACATGTTTGTGGACTGAGGCTATTGTAAATAGAAAGTTATTCATAGAACTTCCTTTTTCTACTTTTGCTACAGTCTTTGGCTAAGAATATTAATGGGAGTTACACATGTACATGTGCATACAAATTTATAGGGAATGTTTATTGCTTTCATTGTTCTGGCAATCTACATGTACATAATTTCCCTGTCTATTTACTTACAAGTACTTGTATTGTACACTTTACATGTAGTTTACTTCTATGTTTATTATGTACATACTGTGTATATGGATTATAATGAAACTAAACCATATTTGTACATGTACATGTATTTACATGTATGTGTACAGTATGTGTCATTATACTCATTGCCAAATATTGCAACTTCAGCATTAAGCTTATGTCTGATCATTTGAAGTTTTATTTTGGTATAGTTTATACACTAAGATATTTTTTTGTTTAGATGGTGAATGGGATTGGGATAATTATGAATTGGTTCCTATTGCTCAGAAAAAGAACTTGCCTGTAACTGCATTGGCTACAGTTAAATATAATGTATGGTGTGCAATTGGCAACACCATTCATGTGTTACATTCACATTCACTTCGAAATGAGGTTCGTCTATTTTTAACAATATACAGTAGCTCCATTTGATTAAAAAAATTATTTTTAGGCTAACTTTACTGTTCATTCATGGAAGAATGCTGAAGTACAGCAACTATTATCTGTTGGTGAGGGTGTTTGGGTTGTTTTTAAACGGGATTCTGTCTTGCGGCTTTTTAATGCAACCTCTTTTACGCATATGCAGGATTTAGATATTGCTCCATCAGTTCACAAAATTATAGGTAATTTTATATTGGCACCAGTTTCTCTTTCTGTATACAGTATATGCATGTACACGAGTGGATAATTATTTAGGAAAGTGTCTAACCTACCCATATTCAGTGATAACACAGTGTGTATGTTTACATTCTTTTTTTATAAGTATACAGAGTTTATCTCAGTAATCTTCAAATTAATAGGTGTGGTTTATAAAATGGCGCTTGAAGCATGCAGGTAACTTTAAAACATATTCATGTATCTCCAGTCTGAGGATCATGCAGTGCAAGAAACAAGCAGAAACAGACAGGAATATGTTCTTTTAATAGTTGGCTATTGCTTAAGCTTTCTGACTTGGAATCAATATAAGGACGCAAGAATGGCTACTTGGTGCTAATCACCATGCTATCTAAACACACGTCTCACATATTATAGGCGCATTGAACACTCCTTGAATAATTATCCACTCTTGATGTAGATGTAATTGATTCTTGTAGTTGTACTTGTACAGTAGTGCACAGAACATGAATTTGTGTATAAACCAATGGTGCAAACTACCATCTTCCCTCTTGTGATGTCACGCGTGACCACACCCAAATTTGCTAAACAGGCTGCAGAAATGAAGAAGTAAATTATGCATGTGTAAAGCAGTTTTTCTCCAGGAAAGAGCCATTATTTTTATCCAAAAGTATTTTTGCAAGTCATTCTATACCATAATGAAAATGTTTTTGGATTCAATCACAACCCTATTTTTCATGTCAGTTGCCGTTTGAAATGCTCTTTCAGAACTTAAAGGTGCTTGTCTTGGCTGTCTTTGTTCTCCTAGTTCTTTAGTGCTGTCACTCTTTGCTTTTCAAAATCCATTTAGGATGTTCTTTGCTCCATTTCATTGTGGAACAACTGTCTGTTGCTGGCATTGTGCTCTCTTCTACTTGTGGTTTGCACATGCACAGTGATAGAGCAGTGCACTACTGATGCAAAACTAGAGCTTCTTAGGTTTTTTATTTTTGCAGTGTACTGTATATGCATATAAATTGTACAGGTACATGTTCATGCACAGCACTGGACAGGTGCAAGTGGACAAACAAACTAGTGTAAGTGTGTGCTTTAACTTGCGTGTATAGTTTTATGCCTGTAATGTGTAATGTACATCATTTGGTTGATATTAGTACATGATACACTATACACTAACAACATACTCACTAGATAGTGCACTAATCATACATGCACCATGCACTCACAATGCACTCACAATGCACTCACTATACAGTTTAGGCTATCATGACTACTTTTTAGTTTACATAGTGTGTGTATCATGTGTGTATAGTTTATCTTAGTTTGCATAAGCTGCGTTTGTCAACTTGCAGGTCTCCAGTGCTGTATGTCGGTATAAAGTGTTCTATTTGTCTAAGTTAAAAATTATGGAAGCATATGTTAGTAATATTTTGTGCTATTTTGAGTTTGAGATTTGCTTAGTTTGGTTTACATCTGTTTATGTAAAGTGATTAATAGACAATACTACTTTTTAGCTGCAGTATTTTTGTAACTCAGTTATGCCATACTTTCATTGAGCATTGCTGCGTTTTGTGCGAGACAAATTTTTCTTACACATTAAAATTGCAAATTGTTAATTTTTTGTGAATTGTTTGAAATCGTGATATTTTGCTAAAAATATAAACCTTTGTACAAATTGTTTCCCTGCATGCTTACAATTTATGTACAGTTGATATACTAGGTGTAATGTAGTATGTTTCTGTTGATTGTTGCCTTGTTTAAATGTGCTTTTAAGGTCATTTATGATACAAGACTTAAGCAGAAGCTCTTAGCTCTTTCTTCCCCAATCAAAGTTTGTTTTTATGCTGTATTGATAGTTTAGCACCAGGTGTTAGATCCCATAAGTAGGACAGAATGATATCCTTTGAGGTACTGTGTGACGTTCACATTTGATAAAATACTTTCTCCTTAACATGTAATGCATCTTGATTTCTTAGTTTTGACACCTGTTGGTAAGTAAAGCAACTAAAATATTATTCAGAGAAAATTATGATTTTATCAAAAAATTATTTTTTAATTTTTAGCTGGGGCAACAAGTCAGTAGTCTAAATTATTGTTGAGTAATGTCTTGAGTATAGATGTGCTTCTTTCTTACATGATATTTTCTGCCATGTCTTTACTGTTGATGATTTATTGTCACACTTCTCTAGTTGTTATGATAGCTGCAGCTTGTTACTGTTAGATGCATAATGCCACACTGTATTCCTGCAACTGCTCTTATTTTTGGGACAAGCAATGTACAGTAGAGTGCTTCAAAAAAGCTAAGTAGTGAAAGTAGAGCACAGTAGGAATGAGAACTTCATAGGTAGTTAATTGGTAGTTATTTTACTTTGCTACTCTTCGCTGCGCTACGCACAGAATGTACTGCAGTACCGGTTAGTCACATGTTCTGTAGTATTAAGCACTCACGTGCTCTAGAGGCTCTCAAAGGACTTGTAGATGCTTCTCTTGGTTGTTTGTGCCCTCCAAGTTCATCTCTACTGCTGCTTTCTGCTTTTAGGAGCCTGTTTAAGACAATCTTCGCTCGATTCTACTGTCAAGCTACTGTTTGCTACTGACCACTTGCGCTACTATTACTGTCACATTGTGCATGTGCAACGAAGAGCGCTGAACTACCTACGCTACAGTAGAGTAACTGTGGAGTAGCTACTTAGCTTTTTTAAAGCACTGTACTGTATGCCATAGTTGTTTCTATTCCCATATAGAAAAAAACATGGTTGCAGCATGGTGGTGGCAACCTTGTAACAGAATTGTTGTTATAAGGTGGTCACTACCTGGCCACAAGGCACATCACCTTGTAAAAACCCAGAAATTGATACATTTCCGACTTGTGTCAACCTTGTAGCGACCTTTGACAATTTTCTCACATAGTACAATAAATTATATAGAATAACTATAATCTGAAGGACTATCAACACATAATTAACACTGTCATCCTAATCCCATATAGTTTGAATTAATTTCTAGATACTTCATGTATTTATGATACTTTTATATGTATCTAATGTATATACAATGTATGTGGATGTAGATTAATGTTATTTTTATTGACTTGTAAAAGTGCTGGTCAATGGTTTCCTTATATGTTGTAGGAATAGCTTCATATCATCATGGGGCCCACTTAATGAAACCTCGGTTTTCTGTCAACCTTTGGACAACCTTGTCACAAGGGTGTTATGTTTGTAACACATTAGTCACAACTTTAGCACTTTTATACAAGGGTGTTACCAGGTTACTACAACCTTGTGAGGTTGTGAACCGGTTATAGCAAGCTTGGAATTTTTATATGGGTTAGTAACGCAGTACTGCAGTGGCGTTACTAAGTAGGATTTACCCAGAAACAATATGGCTTCCACAACTTTTGCAGCCTTGTTATACTGGAAAACGAGCTCTTGTGCTTACCAGACTTCTTGGAGGACCTTATTTTTACTTGAGGACTCCATTAGTACCACTATCATGGCTCTACATCTTGTCTAAGAAGAGTGTCAAAAATTAGCAAACTGGCCGTTTTGTTCAGTCCACTAATTTTTGTCTTCATCATCTCCTGTCAATCAGTTAAGCATGGGTATCGTGATCTTTGGCCAATGCTATGGGGCTAATTTTACACCATTCTGCTTTGACTATCCATGTGAAAGTCCACAACTTTTCAAATAACTATAGCAATGAGATAAAGTTGCTTTCTATCTATTACCGACAGTCTATTGTACGTCATTCTGCCATTTTGTTAATTACAAGAAACATTTACTTCAATATTTGTGTGTGGTCGTGCATTGTCAGATCTGCAGATATGGCAGTTTCTTTACCTATCTATGCTTGGATCAACTGCAATACTTGTAGGAGGTTTCAGGCTTCCAAATTCAACTACGAGAAGGTATTTAATCGTAGATATTATTGTCTTATTGCAATAAATGATTAATAATTTCAAAACACAAACAATAGTTATGTTAAGCAAATAAAGCAATGATCATGAACTTGACAGCAGGAACAACACAGGACAGGATTGCAAGGAAAATGGGTACTCTCAATTCTTGTTGAACAAGGACTCGTATCAACGCTACTATTAAATTTTGCTTTCACTAAATACTGATCAGTATACAATTTCTTCAGCATAGCTATTCACCACAATGGCAATGGACACCATCTGAAGAAATTTCATAAAAATCAACACAAACAAGAACATTAAAGACACAAAAACAAGATCAAGAATTATTCTAAAGCAAGTTTGTAAAAAAGTAATGGAAGAAAGGGCATATAGGATTCTGAACGACTGACTATCCATACCAATGAAAATCCAAAATGAAAATCCTACTCTCGTGACGCAAATTCTACTCTATATTACAAGGTGATTTCTAATTACTTACAAAATAATATTGAAAATGCAATATAGTGACACTAGTGTAGGATTTTTTTTGGTATGGATCGATACTGGATAGTCAGTCATTCAGAATCCTACTTCCCCTTGTTTCCATTATTTTTTTTACGAAATTGCTCTGTGATCCTACTCGATCTTTTTTTAATTTTTATGCTCTTGTAATATTAATAACACAGTAGCATTGTTAAATAGGATTTATTCCAAAACAATGTGTTTGCTGCCACAACTTTTGTAGCCTTGCTATAGACCAGTTGGCGCTAAGTATATTCATAGAATTTTAAGTATGTTCATTGTGATACCGTAAACAAAGTAAAATTTTCCTGCCGCCATTGTGGAGTCCTACTTCCAATGGTTGTCTATGGAGTGACCGTGAAAAGAGCTTTTTCTCCAAAAACTGCTCTATTTATTTGTTATGGCAATCTTGCTACTGCTTACTAACCATCTTCCAGTGTCTATTGTGGGCTCATGGACTTTAATAAGTGCCACTAGGACCTATAGAAGCAAAGATATTGCTTTCTCCCATTCTACTGTTGGTAAACTATGACTCAAAAATGGCAGTAGGAAAATTTTGCTTTATTTACGGTATCACAATAAATATTCTTAGAATTCTATGAATATATTTAGCGCCAACTGATTTATACTGGGAAAATGAGGCCCAATGCTTACCTGACTTCTTACGTAGCACTAAACCTTGTCTAAGATGATCAAAATGGCCGTTTTGTTCATTCCATTTTTGTCTTAGGCATCATCATCATCATCTCCTGTCAATCCAGTTAATGAAGGGTATCATGATCTTTGGTCAATGCTACTTGGCTAATTTTTGCACTATTCTACCCCAACTATCTATGCCCAGGTCCACAACTTTACAAATAACTCTAACAATAATGTAAAGTTGTACTTTCTTTATCACCACCACTTCACTTACCTCATTCTGCAATTTTGTTAGTTTAAATGTGCTCCAAAGATTGGGTGTGGCTGTGCATGCTCAAGTATCAGAAATAAAAAAAATCAAGCATTTTTACCTAGTCGTGTTTAGATCAACTGCGGTACTTAGTGTAGGTTCCAGACTTCCAGTTCCAGCTTAGAGAAGGTATTTAATCTTGGATATTATGGTTTTATTGAATTTTAATGGATGGTATTTAGTAAACACAAACATTAGTTTGTCATGCAATGACCATGAATTTGACAACAGGAACGATACACAACAGGATTACTAGGAAGATGATATTCTCATAAGACTGATATTAACTTATGCTTTCGATAAGTCAGTATATAATTCCTTCAGCTTAGGTATCCATAATATTACAAATAACAAGTACTACAATTGCTATGCAGACCATTTGTGAAGAAACACCGTATACCGGTTTATGTTTGCAGTGAAATATTTTAGCAAATTAGCAGCTATTTTATTATTATCATTTATAAAATAAAATCATGTATTCATGTAATTATTGGGTATCAAGATCAAAATGCTTGATGCTTGAATCTTTTATAAATAAAAATTATAATATAATATATATTACAAATTTTAGAAAGTAAGAGTACAATAATGATAGAAATAATAATCATACTCATAGCTAATGTTTGTCACGTAGTAAATTAAAGTGAATTAGACTATACCGAGCCTGGTGACCCGTCCTCCAATGACACGAGTACTTCACACCTCGACTTCACACAGCGTCTCCTTGAGTTGAGTTCCACACTGAACTGATATGACAGTAGTATCTCCAGAGCAGCAGTCAAGAACGAGCACTGTAGTATCTGTGGAGTAAAGAAAACCAAGAGGCAAGGACAAAACGTTGAGTCAACGTAAAAACGTGCTCCATGAAAAAACGGACCATGAACAGAAGTAAACGTTTTCATATAGTGTTGAAATGCCTAACAGCCATTCAGCGTAAACGAAACGCGAAGTTTTTATTGGCTTGTACTGTATATAGACCTGTTTAGTATGATATATAATACACATATATATTAGCATTAGTTATTACACCCTACTAGAGGCTTTATCTGATACATACATGAAAACTAGATTCATAATTTGCGATTACATACGCCGAGGTAATTACGAATATTCTTTGAGTGTATATATCAGAAAGCTGACAGTAGGGTGTAGTAACTGGTTTATTCAGAAACCATACAGAACAAAGGTCAATACTCACAAAGCATGGTTGATAGTGGATATGCAATGAATATCATTTTAAATCTGCTGTTCTAGGGAAATAAAGATTATTCCCTGGGGCTGGCTGATATACAATGATATTCATTGAATATCCACTATAAAAATGCATGGTACCTTTGATCTGTATTGCTTCTATAAAATAAATGAATAAATATATTTATTTACTATCTGTAGTCATGATATGTGATTATCATTTGGAGTGTTTTAATTAATATTATTGAATTTTTTAGTATTTGGTTCTGAGAAAATGTCAAATGTCATGCCTGTACCAGTGTCTTGTGTGGTAGCAGCACAAAACTCTTTATGGATTGGGACTGAGAACGGAATAATTTTAAACTTTCCATTCAGTCGTCCTACCATAGTAGCAGAAGAAAGTGGTTGGGAAGTGATTAAGGTACGTATAGAATTATTTGTAGATCAGTTGTAATCACTTGGTATAATTGTTTGCTACAATTACAAGCAGACAGGCTACAGATATGACCTGGCATAAAAACTAAGAGTGATATTTTTTAAAAATAAGCATAATTTTTTGCTTTTGGTGTTTGTTCTATGTCATTTACCCTTCCAGTGGCAAATAATAATTAATTAAGCAAATTAGTATGAGCAAAAAGACTTGAAATTAATTAAGCCTGCATTATTTGTAAGCAGCACTTTAAAAGTAAAGGCTTGCAAAATATCCTTCGTACAGTACACTGCTTTTAAAAAGCTAAGTAGCTACTCCACAGTTACTCTTCTGTTGTGTAGGTAGTTTGGTGCTCTTTGTTGCGCATGTGCAATGTGACAGTAGTAGTAGCGCACGTGGTCGGTGTTTAGCAAACAGTAACTTGATGGTAGACTTGAGCAAAGACCATCCTAAACAGGCTCCTAAAAGCAGAGGGCAGCAGTAGAGATGAACTTGGAGGGCACAGACAGCCAAGAGAAGCATCGTCAAGTCCTTTGAGAGCCTCTAGAGTGTGTGAGCGCTTGCTGCTACAGAACATGTGACTGGGCGGTATGCAGTACTTTCTTGATGTTTAGTGCAGTGAAGAGTAATGAAGAGTAGTGACGTAAAATAACTACCTACAAACTACCTGTGAAGTTGTCTTCTTCACTGTGCTCTACATTTGCTACTTAGCTTTTTTAAAGTACTCTACTGTATACAGATACTTTTATTCTACAAATTGATATATCGTCAGTTTTTGTAAGTATTTTTGTCGCAACTAATGGAAACCTTATCTTTACTGTTGCAACAATTCCCCTCCGGTAGCTTGGTTTTGTAATGGTAGGTCACATTTTAATAATTGTAAAAGACTAATGCTTAATGCATTTAAGAAATCACAAGTTATAATTTCAAATTAAAATATAATGACTAGAACAGAAATATTTCTTATAGTTTATAATTTAATACTGTATACCATACAAGGTGATTTATTTGTGGGATGAATATTTGGCAAATTTGCCTGTGAAGACAAAATTGTGGATTTTATATTGGCAGTTTCTTCATAAAACCATCAATTGCCAATAGTAATTCTGCACCAATAAATCTTTTATGGTGGAAGAAAATTTTGGAGGTAGTGAAATTTGATAAATTTGGTGTTTTGATAGCCCTTTGCCAATATAGAAATCCACCTTTTTAGCCATTATACGCATCCTCAAAGGCACATAGCCACAAATTTGCCAAATTAAAATTCGCCAATCACTAAAGTTTAGCTATTTGCCAAATTTAACTGCCTCCAAAATTTCCTGCTATATGGTATTTGAACCATGCAATAGGAAGCTGAAGTTGGGGGCCAGTCTGTTCCCGAACCGTTTGATGTTAGAACAGAAGAAGCAATGGATGCATCTATTGTATTGGAGCCTCAAGTATTATCTACTACTATTCCAGTGGCTGAAACTTCCGAAAGAAAATCAGTTTCACAGCCGTTTAATCCTTTTATCAGTATAGACCAAGTTCAATTGTCAATTCACTGTCATGTAAATTCAGTTGAAAGTTTGGTTTGTGTTCCTGGCATGGTTCCTAGTGACATAAGTAAGCCCAATTAATAATTAATACAATATACATGTAATAATTATAGTTTATTGAGATTACCACACATTGTAATGATAAACTTTATTATGCATGTATTTTGTCCTTGAGTAAAGACCCTAGGTCTTTCTTATGATTGTTTTTACTGTTGTCAACATTTACGTTTCTTCTACACTCTTAAGCCATCCATACCCTTTATGTGAAGTAGGTGCTGTCATGGAAAATATTCTTCTGAGTTTGGAGGTTGCACCTTTCATACCTTGTTACAGCATTGCTGAGTAACTGCTTGCGGACGGAAACCTGTTTTGTCGTTCTCTATTGCAGTTTAGTTTCGGACAAGAAGGATTGGAATAACTTTTTTTAGGAATGTGTGATCAGGATGAAACTTTTACTGGTTCTTAGTCACCTTAGTTTGTCAAAATCTGTGAAATCTTGGGTCTCTCAGTGCTAGGGAACCCTGAGAACAGAGTTCTCTCTATAGCAAACCAAAACTAACTGCATTGACTTTTTATGACGTCATAGTTCTCATATGCACATATACTGCTTATTAGTAACAACAAGGCTGGTTTAAGAGTGAAGCGACACAGCCGCCATGCTTCTATAAATGTCATTATGTGTCATTGTAACATAGCAGCATTTTTCAAATTCCTCATACCTTCTACTTCCGTGAAATCTGTCCCAGACTCAATTGGGATATAGTATGTGATATAATTTCAAATAAGGAAATACAAGTACATGTAGTTACTCAAAATTAATGAAAATGTTATCCAATATGTATGTAAAACACTTTAACCTGTGCCAATGCTACCAACTGTGAGTATATCTCTGCTTTGAGCTACTTCTAATTAATCTGCTGTAGTCATATTGTTATTACTTTTACTTTTGATTTTTGATTTGTAGCTGTTTTTGAGCCTCTTGGTGGTGTCTACATTGGTCCTGGAGATAGAGCAGACTATAAACCTAGTCTCTTTGTAATGAGCTGTGGTGAAGGCCATCTTGATTTGAGAACTGCGGACAAAGTGATGCAAACAGTTCATGCTCAAGAATCTGGTAAATCTGGTATTCCATCTGCAGTTTCTATTATTAGTGAAAAGAACTATATCATGGTATGGGATGTTTTGGTGTGACTGAAGTATTTATTTTAATTTGTGCTTAATTAATAACTTAATAATATTGTATTTTTTTGACTTAATATTATTTTTGACAGGAAAAGAACACGTTTTTATTAAAATGCCCCGGTACGGCTTTTTGTCAATATTCTAATAACTGATTATTTATCGTAGTCCAAATTTTACTAGTGGTCAATCACTGATTTGATTTTGTCCTTCATTCAAAGGGGACAAATCTCCTTATGATTTTATACTTGCTACTTTAAATCCTTACTGGCTTTTAACTAGTTGGGGCTGATTGTGGAATAAATGATTATTGATTAACTTATATTTTGAGGGGCCTGGGGTGTGAATAGGCACCTCCCCCCTAATTATTTATGTTTTTGGGGTTGAGATTCATGCCTTGGAAACGGTTTGTCACACATCCATGTTACGTTACCATCAGTTGTAATGGAGAAAGTACATGTGGCTGTGTGGGAGGGAGGAAGATTTGAGAAACAGATTCTCCTAGCTGTCTGCTTCTCACTGTTCTCTCTCTCGTGCAACAGCTTGCAGGCTGGCAGCATGTGGACCTTCGTATAACTATAACTAGCTCCACCCTGTTCAGCCCCTCATTTAACCTCATTTGGGCTGATTGTGGAATAAAATGCATCTTGTATTATTACCTGCCCCCTTGAATGATTGTTCTTTAACCTAAATTTTGAGGGGCCTGGGGTATGAATAGGCACCTCCTCTCAAAACCTAATTAATTATTTTGGGAGTGGAGTTTCATGCCTAGGAAATGGTTGGTTCACTTAAGTAGAACCTTAAGGACTATCATTATTACTACCAAATGAACAAAATTATTGTATTGTCTCTCAACGTCCTTCACTTCCGCCACCTCTGTAGGGCCTGGATGAGCGAGTCCTCCACTTCTGCAGCGGAAGCTGTGGTTGCTGCTCCTATGTGGAAGCTATACCCAGCAAAGTCCTTTTCTGGGAGCACCGCCCATCACAGTACTCCTCTCACCTCATCTACCAGGTGTGACCTAGTAGGTGGGGTGATATCTGGAAGTGGACCTTGATCCTTCCCCCTCCTTTCTAGATACTCTTTACTCCCTGCTGAGTCTGATCTATTTCTCTCTTCCTCAAGAGCACAGTCAATACCTTTGGCTGGTGGGGCTTGTCGCAGGCTATGTTCCTGAATGACAAGTGTATGTCTGGGTCATAGTCTCCTGGTAAGGAAACTGTCAGCTCTCCTGAGAGGCAGAAGCCAAAGAAGGTTTTCAAAGACACCGCCCAAAGCAGATGATGGTTATAGTCACTAATATTCATCTCCCCCCTCTGAATTCTGGGAGTACCATATAGCGGCATTTTTTCAAGGATAATAAATTTCATGAATGACCCATATATGTAAGTTTGCGCAATTAATTTTTGCAAATTTCCACTAATCTGCCTTCTTGTACCATATTAAATTAATTTTCAAGGAATTTAATTTCACAAATCATGAAAAAATCTGCGAAATTCACAAAATTTGCTATGCTTGAAAATTTCCTGCTATATGGTAACGGATAGCCGAGCCCTTGTGGGAATCCCCTTAGCACTTCGGCTTATCTCCAACCCTCTCAGTACCTGCCATAGGCAGGGCCTAGCACCGATAGTGGGGTCGTCATGACCGAGGGCAATTTGAGACTGCCGAATCCCTTTAAAAGAAAGGAAATGGAGTGAGTGCAAAGTATCTACAAAACTTGATGAATCTCTTGTGAGCAGTCTGATAGGTCCTGTGACATGACGACGCTTTACTGGTTGCAAAGAAACTCTGAAGAGCTCTGTCCAAGAATGAATGTCTGGGGCTGGTCGAGGGACAAAAGAGTGAGGAGAGCTGGGGGCACCTGAATTGATCTGACAACGGCGTGGGGACCTGAGACAAAAAGTGAGGTACATAATTTCTAGATAATGCATCAGCTAGTGTGTTATTTCTCCCTGGAATGTGTACTTCCTTGAACCGGAAATCATAGTGGCATGCTTAGAATGCCAGCAATCTGATCAGGTGCATCAAATGTGGTTCCCTGCTGTGAGAGCTGTTACCGGTAATAGTGTCAAGCACTGCTCTATTATCCACAACAAAATCCACCTGTTTACCACTCCACCAACTTCGATACAAGGCCGCTCGCTGCAACTACCACTGGAATCAATTCTCTGACCCGTATTGATGATAAGGCCATGTCCTGCAGCCATTTGGAAATGAAACCACAGAGAGGTAACCACAATGCTCCTGCCCCCCTAATTACCATAAGCGTCAGAGTATAGTCTAACCACAGTCCTCCATTGTGGGCCCCCTCAGCAGTGGTTTTCCATTCCATTAAGCGAAAAACGTATGCCACCACATGATATCTGCTCTGGCTGTAACATTCAAGTGAATGTTGTGGTGAGGGGAGGAGCCCACTTTATGCAAGGCATATAGGCTTTGTAGGAAGGCTCTACCTGGTTAAACTACCACTGAAGCATGTTGTACTAAACCAGTAAGGCTTTGTAATACTATCTTATCCATAACTTTTTTCTCTTTAGCCTCATCTAGTTCTGCCATGAGCTGATCCAGCTTCTCCCTTGGAAGGCGACGCTGCCAACTGATTGTGCCTACCTCAGTGTCCAAAAAGGTGAGTTGAGAACTTGGGCCTTCCAGTTTGCTCCGCTCTGGGGCAAGTCCAGAGACTCAAATAGTGGACAAATGGACTGTTTGGACTTTTCTGCTAACTCAGTAGAGTTTTGCACCAATACAAAATCAGAAATCCAAGTTTACTGTGTATTTAAAAAAATGAAAATGAGACAGAAGACATAAAAACAACTCACTCACCATATGTTAAAGTAAAAGTAAGAGGAAGTATTGTTTATATCCAAAAAGTCACAGCAGTATGGTTATTTCAAGATGCAGAGCGAGTTTCTTCTGATGGCCTTTTCTGTGTTTGGGTTATACAACTGGGAGAAAGCCAGTCTGTAGACAGGCATGGACCATTTGACAAGAGTAGCATACCAATAATAGCATATCATACTGTAGCTGGACAAATTTGTGCATTAGAAGCTATTAACCACTGGAAAATTGGGAGGGTCCTACAAATCACAAAATAATAATAAAAAAGAAGTTATGATAATACAAATGATCAACTAGGAATACTATGTACTTGGTATGAGTGTAACAATTCAGAATTTCAGTATGTACTATGTTTTACTGAGCATAAATACTACCCCATGAGTAACTACATCTGTACACAGAAACGTGATTGTTCTGGAATCTTTGTTTGTCTGATACAATTTTAAGTGCAACAGTCATTCCACTAGATAAGGAATTCAAAGTTGCTTTGATGAGAAGCAAAACTACATAGAGATAAAGAAGTTTTGCTGCCATCAACACCTCTGACAAATGCACAGAAACAGTCAAATAGTGGATTTCCATTGATAAACTGATCTTAATGGAATAAGAGATGGCAGTTACAAATGGGCAGCAACTTTCAGATATCCATATCACAGCAGCACAAAGACTACTAACACTCACTTTAGTCATTTGAATGGATTACAGACTATAATATACCAACTA